CAAAATATAACAAAGATAATTAAGATATACATTCAAATTAATTACTTAAAAGGTATTAATGTTAGGTCGTACTAAGAGCACAGAATATATGAAATATATATAATATATAWAATTTCATATATTCTGTGCTAAGAGTATATCAGTCCACTATGTTCATTTTAGCTTTCTCTAACTCAGATACAATAATTTATGTTAAGCATAACCAACCCTGTGTTGTTACTTTTAATTATAACGTGAATCCACTTATTATTAAACTTTAAGTTATGAACATTACCACYTGTGTTGCTATATTTTTTATACAATAATTTAATTTTTATGCAATTTATACACATTATTAAATTTTAATAATTTAGATACTCATGAGTTACATAAAAATTGAAATATCTTAAAATAGCCAATGTGGTAATGTAGCAACACAGGCAAAGTTCTTACAGATAATAATTGAATTCATTATTTCACTCTAACATTATAAGTAACAACATAAGGTTGATTCACTTGGTTCTGCTATAAAATGAAATAAAATAAATAGTTCTAAAATAGTCAATTTATTTCAAAAAACTTTCATCTATAGAAAAGCTATTAAAAACATTTCATTCAAATTTCCTAGATTCTGGCAATTCTTTAAATTTGAATTTTATATTTTAGTTGTCTCATTAATTTTAATACTTATTCACTAATCTACTACCTAATATTTATTTAGGAGAAATAGATGTGGTGTATTATATTWAAAAAAAAATGGGTTTTCAACAAAAATTCTCTAGCCTTATCTAACTTTTGGATTTTGATAACTACTTATCTGAAAATAATGCCTAAAATTGTGTTATATACAATATACAATATACCCCTTCCAAACGCCCAATACATCTACTACCTAGGCTTACATCGTGACTGCCGGTTAACTACTGAGGCTAACCTAACTCTTACMCATACCAAAATACTTAAATTAAATAACCGCTCTCACTGACTAGTGACTATGTCACAACACATCAACTCAAAAAATAAATTTCTTTTGAATAAACTTCTACTCAAACTTATCTTAGTGTATATGGTATTCAATTATGGAATGCAATCAAACCATCCAACCTAAACAAAATCCGATACTTCTAATCAAAATGTCTCCTCCAAATAACCAAATCTCCAAACTATGTATCCAAGGGGCGGTGGTAAACTCTCCCGATTTTTAAAAATAATAAACTCTCTCGGGTTAATATTATATTTACCTGAAGTAAATGTGTAAACTCTCCCGGGTTAACTTTATAATTACCTGTAGGAAGTATGTAAACTCTCCCGAGTTGTTTTAAATGTTAAAACCATTTTTTAAGGAAAAAAAATAGATTCCCTAACTTTTTTAAAATCTGGGCTAAAATTCACTTTACCATGCCCCTTACGAATTTCAAAAATTTTTTTTTTTAAAGACTGGTTTTCTTATACTGATTTAGGAATCTTTTGAATTTTTTTACGGAAACCATTATTTTGGAAGTTATAGCCCTCCAAAATTTGCGATTTTACGTTTATACGCATGCGCGTCACACTACAGTATACTGCCACGTAGAGCAACTCGAGGTTTGACTATTGTAGTCGTCAGACGAAGGTAGGTTCCTTTAGTTTGAAGACCGAAGCCACTTGTGTGTTACTTAACTAACAAGGGTCAGTTTACTTGTTAGGTCATTCGTCTGCCCGTAGGGCAGGTACCTTCCCCCGCCGCGAACCCGAAGGGATCGCCTCCACCTCCACCGACAGGTTAGCTATTTAAGTCCCGGGGGGTTTGGGGGCCGAGCC